CACACACACACACCCCACCCCCTCAAGGCACCACGCCTGTCTCCTTGTGCATATGAGCTCAAGTGTGCAATTCCAGGGTATGCATGAAACATCCGGCAGCTGTGGCAGGGGGCAGGTTTGTGTATAGGAGAGTCTCTGTGTGAGTCTGTATTAAATATGGGGCTATGAACAAGGAAGCTTCGATGGAAGAGTGAAATGGCCCATGACTGATGGACTGAAAATGTTGAGTGACTTTTCAGAAAATAAGGAAATAAGGAAGGCTGCCCTTCCTCCTCCAGACCTCCTAAATCCCTCCCATCAGTTCCTCGTGTTCAGTCCCACCTGCTCAGGGAAGCCGGCTCTGCCACCCGAGCTGCAGGTGGGTTTCCTGCCTTGGAAACCACACCACACATGCCCCCTTCAGCACTTACCCTGTATCCTGCTGTGATACCCTGTATCTCGAGGGGTGAGTCTGAGCTCTCCGACTAGGCTGTAAACTCTGAAGGCAGGGACAGCGTCTTGAACTTCTGTAACAGGCATGTTGAACAAACAGGACTCCTGGGATCGAATCAGAATTCACCTTGAACTTGTCCCTTTTTCCTTTAAACCTCTTCAGTGGGGAGCATTAGTTTCCTGCCCCAGGATGAGACTTGAGGCAGTCCCATAGCCTTTCTGCTTCCCCAAAAAGTCCTATAGTCACTTTAGTCACAACTGCTCTTTAAGTTACAAATGCAGTCGAGAGAGAGAGAGAGAGAGAGAGGCAGAGAGGAAAGAAAGGAAGGAAGAAAAGAAAGAAAAGGGAAAAAGGAAGGAAGGGAAGGAGAGAAGGAAGGAAGGAAGGGAAGGAGGGAGGGAAGGAAGGAAGGAAGGAAGGAAGGAAGGGTCCAGCCTTGGCACCCCTTGCAATAATCAACATTTTGAACTGGATTTAAAATGAATTCTTCCTCCCTCCCTGCTCCTCAGTGGGGCTTTGTGCAGGCAGGAAGCTGGGGAGGAGGGCTTGGTCCTTGAATCATTCAGGATCCATCAGGAGACAGAAACCGTACCGGTTACTTGAACAAAGAGAATTTAATAATATGAATTGTTTATATGGTACACCCTTACACCCTTATAACCTACATAAAGGTGTAAAGTTGTATAAATATAACTGAAAGGTGAATAAAAGAGAGAGAGGTATCAAAGTGGCAGCAACTGCAGGAGGCATCTGTCACCCCTAAGGCTGGGAGAACAAAGGGCAGAGGTTGGAATTGCTAAAATGTGCGAATCTGGAGACCTCCAGGAGGGGGCGCTGTTCAGCTGGGCTGGTGTCTGAGCTTGCACGAGGGTCCCTGTGGGTGGGAGACCCAGACCTCCAGGATTGGGCACTGCCCGCTGTTGTCTCGGGCTGGGGAGGGCAGGACAAAGCCGGCTTTGCGCGTGGTGGGAAACCCTTCCAGATTCAGCTGCCACTGCCGGGGAAGAGGAGTGAGGCTGGGGAGCCGCGACAGGGACAGGAAGGAACGAATCCCTCCCTCCCCCTCCAGCCTCACAGCCTTCCTCTAGAGCTTCCCAGCGGTCGCGCCTAACAGGGATCCCCTTGCAAAGGTGAAATGTGGGCGCCAGCCTCCGCCCCACATCACCGAGCAGAACGTAGGAGGTGGGTTTGGGGCTGACAGACAATCGCTTAGGAACCTCTCCTCTCCTTCCCCATTGGATGCGTCTGTCCCCCCTGATCTCCTTAGATTCAGTGTTGGTTCTCCAGGTTTGAAGCTGAGAGGTAGAAGCATCAGGAAGGACCCTAAGACCGCAGAGCCTCCTCTGTCCCTGGGGAGCCTTCCCGCCCACCCAGGCTGCCTTCGGCTCTCTCGGACACCCACACTCCTGTCCCAAACACTCTCCAAGAGCAGGTCTGTCCCAGTGCAGCGACAGCCCTCCTCACTCCACCCTGGAGCAGCTCACCAGCAGCCCCTCCTGGGTCAGACCCTGTCCGACAGGCCACCCCATCTGTAGGGGACACAGCTCAGGGTCCTTGAAACGTGAAGCTCCTTTTGTGGCCCCGGAGGTGAAAAGCAGGCTGGGGTGCAGGTTCTCTCCCTTCTCAGCAGTTCTGCCCAAAGAGGTCATCTTTAAAATCCGCCCCCAGCTTTCACACCCTGTCTGGGAGTTAGAGATCTGCCCTGAGTTCTTGACCGTCCTACCTGGAACCTTTGCAAGTTCTCTGAGGTGATCTGTTTCACAGCTCACTTTGGTACTTGGTGTCGATTGTGTCTTGATGCGTCGGTCAAAACTTCCACGCAGGTGAGCCGCTGCTCCTCTCTGTAACCCCCTGCTCCTCTCAGTAACCCCCACCACTGCTGGCCTGGGGAGAGGCCAGTCACTGACCGCCTTTCAATTCTGTGTGTGGTGCAGGAGGAGGACGTGCTCCGGTACCACGTGGTCCTGCGGGAGACACTCCTCAAGAACGACCTGCACAACGGCATGCACCGGGAGACCATGCTGGGTTTCTCCTACCGCCTGGGCTTCTTTCTCCGCAGTGGGCAGGTGCGATCCTTTTACGTAAGACCCAGAACCAGCGTCTTAGCGCCTTTCATCCTTCCTCACTTCCATATTGGAATAATCTCTCTGGCACTTCCTAAGCCTTATCAGCACATAACAGATGCCTGCGTTTCACCTAGACCAGGCTGGCAAGCTCCCACTCACATGCCCTGTCTCCAGCCTTCAGATATTCTGTGTAGTCTTAGAATTGTGGCATTTGAATCCCGGCCGTCATAGGCACCCTTCAGCACTGGTACAGCAAACCCAACAGGCAGTCCCACGTGGTCCCCAGGATGGAAGGGAACCTGGGACCTCAACCCAACTCCCAGGAAGTGGAGTCAGCTCAGCGCATAAGGAGCCTAATGACATATATAGGGTCGAGTGGCCAAATGAATTACAATGATTATCATTGCATAATCATAGAGATTGTAGTCCTCAGACCAACTGCCCACTATGCTGGTATTCCATTACTGATCTCACACAATACCTCAGTATTTTTAAATGTTTATAATTCATAAAAAAAGAATTAGTGGGACTAAATATTTAATATATTTCAAATATAAAATTCTATTCACATATTTCAGATATCAAGTAAAAAGATCAATCTATAAAAACTCAAGAAGAAACTCATGATATAATCCTAATGTAAATTGTCACAAGAAAAATTGATAAAAACAAATTATTATTTGAGACACTAAGCACTATATTGAAATGAAAGTTTAACCATAGAACTTGTTAAGCAATATAATATTTGATCCTTTTTGGAAAGTGTGATCTTAAAAATAATTTCTCCAATGGTGTCCTCATTGACTCACAAGTAATTTTTAATGTGAAGTTTTTTTTAATCTGCTTAGGAGAAAAAAAGTCTTCCTGGCTCTTAATTACTTAAGAATAATCTAACTCGAAATATTTTTCTCTGACTCCTACAAATAATTCTACCTATTGTGTAATAACTTTGAGGAGACCCTTTTAAATGTATTTTCTTATTCGTTCAGAAATGGCAATTACGTTACCGATAGAGTTCTTATTTTTGTTTTTGTTTTCATCTGTCATCTTTTATTTCATCATGTAGAGATAAATATTCCAATGCAGTTAGTTAAATCAATTTTGATGCTGTAATATTCATTTTCCATTTGTTCAGAAATTCTTTGATCTAAAGCAAGAGTTACTCTACAGTAGAGACTTTGCTTTTATTGATACTAATTTACTTCTCTTACAACAATGGTAGTGTAGGAAATGCTTTCTAAATGAGTAGATGTGTTCAGGTCAAAATTTAGTGCCACCCATAATTCTGGATACTTCATGATGGAAATGATTCAGACTTCCTTAATGCCAAATCAACAGTATTACAACATCAAATGTTCTTCTATTTTGGTATTTAAAAATAGCTCAGTATCTTGGAATTCTAGAAAATTGTGCTATAATCACCATTTAAGACTAAGTAAGGTTTCCTGCTAGTTTTCCAAATGTACACAGACCTCGAAACACCTCTGCGGAGCTCAGCCACCATGTACCTCAACATCCAAATGGAGACTCATTTGACTGCAAGTAAATCTTAAGGGACTTTAACATTCAGTGGAAGTTCAAATTTAAGAACGTAGGTCATTTTAATATTGGTGCAGTGGATAGTGTTGGGATGTTAATATATGAATTATTTTATGAATTTTAAGCCCTCATAGGATACCGACTTGATATCTGCTTAGTGCAAGAAAGAGTTTTCCAACCTCAGCCCTGCTACACCTACACACACACACACACACACACACACACACACATACATACACACACATACACACACACATACACACACACACACATACACACAACACCCCAATTTTTTAAAAGAACCATTTGTTTCCAGGTATTTTCGTTACATTAATTAATAAATTAATGGCTTCATTTATTTTTCATTAGTCAATCATTAAAGTATACTTCCCTTAAAAAAAATTACAACTCAAAATTGAATTTGACTTGGCAGCATTTAGATACTGACTTTGTTCCTGTGTCTTGGATGCTCATGGACACTCTAGACAAAGACGGATCTTATTTTTATTCTTGTGTAACTGTTATTTAGCCTTTTTGAGGGTTGCTTGCAAGTTCATCACGAAGTGGAGACGTACTGAAAGGCCAAGTTGCACCCTCCACGTCTCGGTTATGGATGGCATTAGCACCTCCAGGACCACATGTCTACAGCACAACGCAGCACGTCCAGGGAGTCATCTTGCCACTAGGCATTAACCTCATGATCACGTTCATTTATTTTTCAATCAAACATACACCAGTTAAGTCGGGAGATGGAGAGATACCTTAGAGATTATCTAGAACAACCTCTTCCTTTTACAAATGAAAAAATTGAGGTTCAGAGAGGGAAAGCAACTAGGTCAAGGTCACACAGCTAGATGGTGCCAGATTCAGACTCCCTTTCCTAGGCCAGAGCTCTTTCCAATACAACTCACTACCTTCCAGGTGAATATTAGAATATCTTCTAGGCTGTTGTCCTACTGATAGCCTCAGTCTTCATCTTCCCCATCTCCCTTAAAATCACTATCATAAAAAGTCACATTTAACCCTCTTGTTCACAGCTCTATGTAAATGAGGCTCCAGTAAACTACACCAACATAGCCACTGACAAGGGAGTGATCCATGGCTTGGGGAAAGTTCTGGAAATTCAGAAGAATAGATGTGATAATAATGACACCACTATCATACGAGTAAGTTATATCCAGGGCCAATGATGCAACTAAAGGATGTTGGCTTATTTTTTATAATTCTTTAAGCATAAGACTTTTCTGTTAGGATATCTCAGTTCAGTCCAAAAAGCACTGGGTGAGCATCTCTGATGTGCCAAGGAGCATACCAGGCTGTGGGTCTGCAAAGGAACATAGGACGTGACCCCTGCCCTCAATGGGCTCACGATCTAGTGCAGTAGGTTGTACCTTGAGTGCCTGGGGGTCTGTGTTGAGCAGGATTCTGGAGCCATGGTTTTCCTCAAAGGGAAAATGTACCATGTCCAGCACAGGCGCACAGGGAGGGGACCCATGGCAAGTATGAACCAAACCTATCTACTAGAAGAGAAAATATGGAAATGAATGATTTCAGTGTAATATGGGATGTGATAACAGAGACTTTTCACTTCAGTCCGTGGGGCAGTGTAGGATCTTTCAATAATAGTAATAACTGCTGACATTTATTGGGCAGTTATGATATGCCAGGCACTGCTGTGAACACTTTACATGTGTTATATTAACCCATGTAATCCTCGCGGCATCCTACAAAGTAGGTGCTGTTACTAACCCCATTTTACGGATGGGGAAAATGAGCCACAGAGAGGTTAAGTAATACACCAGGTCCACACACTAGCAGGTGGCAGAGAAGGGACTCTGGCCCAGAGCTGGTACCTATTGTACCGTCCAGTAGATTCCAAGTTCAGAGCTACACACATTGACCTCCTTCTGTTTTAGGAACAGGGTGGCACTTAGGAGTTTCTGTCATTGTTAACTTTTGCTCTTTGTTTCGGAATAGTATTATTATCTCTATCGAGTGTCTCCACTCTCCACCCCTCAGCCGGACACCCAAGCTGGGCACTGGCTGTTAGTTTCTGAATCTGGCCCCATTCACTAAATAGTGGTTTTTCAATAAATAAGAGTTCTGTTAAAGGAATTAGGATTTAAATGAGATAACACCACATTTTAAAGGGTTATTAGAGTCAGAAGAGTATGGTGGATAAAAGCGCTGCTTTAAGATGCTGGTATGCAAGACCCAAAGTAGTTGAAGTATTTGTCTGAAAGAACATTAAAGAGGTTGACCAAATGACCTTCCTCCATTTTTAATTCTATACACTAAAACCTTCAGCTCCAAGCTCTAGAAAATATTTGCAGCCTCATTTTGCACTAAAATTAATAAACTCTAAATGTTCCCTTTGCCTCTGTGTTTTACCAAGGGAAAATGTGGCAAGTGTCCCCAGCAGCCGATCTGCCCATTTGGAACTAAACCACTAGTAAGTATTTTGTCTGCTTTGATAAAATAGTCTCCAGGTCCCAGGGAGTACAAATTAGAATATGAATCTCAAGCATACCTCTTTTTCACTTCCCTCATTCCTTCACTTAATTTGAGTTTTACTTCGTTATATGCATCTTTGTAAAGTCTTAAATCCATTTTTGGGGACCAAGGCAAAATTTAATTAATAAATAAATACAAATGGGTTCGTGTCAATCAACACACAGTGTAGGTAGGGATTTTTCACTTTCTACATCTTTCATTTCCCAGTAGACCGTTGAGGACAGTGGTGAGAAATCTTATCAGAGAAGAAAAAACCACATCCAGCCAGGATGCATTCCACCTGCCTGATTTTCTTTTATAGTTGAAGTTGCAACTAACTCTCTCAAAGAAACAGATGGCAGACATGGCAGAGGGAGACATGTCTTTGAATTAATTACCAATCCCCGTTTCTTGTAGCTATTTATTGCAAAAGCTACTTCGGATAAGAACTATTACAAAGAATAAACACTGGTGCCCCTTCCATAGCATGATAATAATAATTTATGATAACCGCCAATACCAATTTTCTAACATGAGTTTTAATTTAATCTGGTATATTATAGGCCTTTGTAAGCAGCCTTAACCCTTTCTTGGACCAAGGCAGAATATAAATCAACAAATAAATAGAAACCAAGTTTCAGATCAATCAACACTGTTCCCGTATTGTGCTGGAAGGACATTTTTATCTGGTTTACTAGACAATTCTTTCAAACTTGAATTGGTCTTCTAGAGAAATGTTCTTTTTACTTTA